TTCCGATCTCCCCAAAACCCCAAAACCCCACATGGTGATTATAAAAATCATTTTTTGAAATTTCTTAAAGTTTATATATATATATTTACACATCAATATGAAAACTTTGAAATTTATACATTAGTTATTTCTAGCAGAGTTCCTTGTATATTTCGGTAGAACAAAAATGAATTGCTTTATTTTTGAAGATTCTAACCAAGTACTAGAGCGATTAACATTTACTTAAAAACTTACCCTTTCAACTTTGAATTTTCTAGATTTCTGCCTTTTCCCCAAAACACCTTACTATGGAACTGAATATATCACTGAAAGAGGATTATTGAGGTAAATTATGAAAGATGAGAAAATTAATGGAACTCTTAAGAAGCATTCAAATCATATAAGAAGGTTTGCAGATCCTAAAATATTTGAGAGCGATTAGATTTTATACAAAAAGAGTTAAGTTTTAAGGATACCTTTGATATCTCATTGAATTTGGTTTACAGATATTAAATCTCCATCAGATATTCAAGATAAGTTGCCTGAAGATATACTAAATGATCTAGGTTACACTTATTAAATTTTAGATAATAGTGCTGAATAAGAAGGATATTAATGGATTCATTATCTTTGGGTTTAGAACAAGCATATTATCCCTAAAACTGTAACTCTGTTTTAAAATTTGGGTGTAATTGTAAGAGAAATAGAAGAACTTAAATACTTTAATGACGAAAAGATTTAAAAGTAATATCAGTATTATATTTGTGACATCGAAGCAATTGCTGCTGCAAGTGACCTTATTAGAATTGTTGCAGTGCTTGAATTTGGAGGGATTTATTTTGATAACGATTTGACTATATGGAAATGGAACTACGATATTCACTACTATTTTGATTTCTTTGGGCAATATTTCAAAATTTTAAGAACTCTCAAGGGCATTAGTAACTCATTTATCGCGGCAAAACCAGGTCATGTTATACTTGAAAAATACTTACACTATATGGTAAGCTAGTTTAAAACACATGAAAAAGGAATAGAAGATAGACCATTTTATTAAAATTTATGCTCCTATAAAACTGTTGCATCGACAATACATGGCACTGGCCCTACTGTTTTCACAACTATTTCCTTTAATTATCTTAACACAGAAGGGAATTAAGATGTACTAATAATGAGTACAGGTGGACCTCCTCATTAGGTTCATATAAACACTATTGATAATTAAGGTACTTAAGGAAGGCTAATGATCAATGTTGAAATGGAAGACAGAACTACAAACCTATGGAGAAATGATCTCATAGATGGTTCTGTTTTTGGATTTCCAGAGTTAAATGATTTTTAATGAGGCTTGCTTATTGAATGAAAGTTGAATTATATCTAAGAAAAACAAAAAACTATTAGATATTATGATTATTTTATTTCATTTAATTAAATCTATTGAACTCATCAAAGATCTTCTTTTTGGGGTTTTGGGGTTTTGGGG